CACATGTCGGAAGGCCAAGCGGGGGCTTAGAGCGGGTCCCGGCCGCGACGGTGTCTTGCTGGTGCGACATAGCTGGTTGGGAAAACCCCCGCTGTGCCAGATTTCACTATCCAGTGGGGGAGACGACGGCCACCTCCTGAGATAAAAAAACATGCATACGTCTACGGGACTAATGGCCTTAGCAGTTGACGCTCCGAGATTCAGTGATAAATCAGATGTCTGAGAATAAAATTTACAGACTTCTAGAGCATGTAAAAGGGCCGAAAAGAATAACTTTTAGCCAATGAACTTATTAATCCCTGCACAGTGTTTGAGTAACTGAGTGTGCGTGTGTGTCCGTCACTCACGGTTAGGCCATTTCCCATGCACCAATCGAGACATATGAGGTGTCATTCGACGCGCCTCTGCCTCCTGGTGGGGAACTAATAATTTGTTTTCCGTTCCGACCAGGAGATTCTACAAAATTAGCAAAAACGAGTTTTTGCGTGTTTTAGCGCTGCGACTGTTTTAGTGGGTAGACAGAGAATTAAACCAACGCCACCAAAATAGACCTATGTAGGTGCGGTTGATTTATCTCCAGAACCCAGAGGCAATTTTAGCTCCACCATGCCATAACTTTCTTCTACGAGGATGGCAACGCTGATTGTTCTCGGGCATGTGAAACACGTGCCCGCATGTGAAACTGTCAATAGTCAATTCTGTTTTGAATATAAGAAGTAAAGTGTTTCGTTGTATTACAGTATTTTTAACAATAAATTTGCAAATACCTACGTATAGTATTACCTTGGAACTTATTAAATGTGAAGAACGCCAAGTGAATACGGAGAAAACCAGGGCTGTGAGTAATGCTAGAAAACTGAAGCACATGCGTATTCGACTTTGGACATTTATGTTCTTAGGAGAGCAAATACGGGGCAAGAATAAAATGTAATTGTAGAAGATTTTGTGACAGAATTGTCGGAACTAATTGAGAATAATCTTATATTAGGAGAAGATAATAAAAACAGGTAACATGTGATCTTTTATGTACACTTTTGTACATATTACCAAAAAGCGTACAAAATGTAACTGTACTAAATTCTAATTAATCGCATTATCCATACCTGCCTAAAAGGCAATTTTCATTTAAAACACTGGAGCCGTTATTTAGAAATTTTCGAAATTTAAGACTTTTCGAAAAACTTCGTATGACATCATTTCAAGCACTTCCAGTCACAAATGCAATACTGTTTACAAATCGTTGGAAATGTGCATATTAAAGGCATCTTTCAAAAAAGTACATTTCTGTAATTTAAAAGAAACAAATGAATAAAGCCAAATGAATTCTATGTCATCTTAAACAGTGCAATTATCACTATCTGTTGGAAAACTTTTTTTAAATGGCGCTTAAATTTTTGTGAAAATTGTGTTTGAGAGTTTCTGAAAATGCGGAATCTTGAACTCATTTTCACGGAAAACTGTTGAGTTTTGTGGAAACTTCATCTGACATTATTTAAAGCACATGTACTCATAAGTACATTAATGTAAAGAAATTACCATTAATGTAAAAAATATTAACGACGTGAGAGACAAGTAAAAAAATTACATTTGTGTATTCTTTTAAAAAACATAAGAATATGGCAATATGTCATTTAAAATATCTGATACAGTGCATTTAGCAGTATCAGGTTTAAAGAAAAACTGGCACTAAAGAATGGTTTAGGCGCTAGTAGTGCTCACAGACACCATACGGACAGACAGACGGACGGTAAGACGGATGGACGGACAGACAGATGGACGGACGTTTCGAACACAGATGGATGGATGGACGGACCTTTGGAAAAAAACTATACCTTTTCGGTATCTGGGGACCCCAAAACGTGTATTTCCGTTGAAATCTCGAAATCGATTTTCCGCAGCATTACATAACTTTCCCTACACTACGTATATAACTCCGTATATACGTACGTATACGGAAAAGTAAAATTCCGTTTTCTACATTCAGGAATGTATGAATAGGCTCTATAAAGTTTCAAAAAATATGTAACCAACAAGATGATTTTTTCTTTTAAAATCGTTCATTTGGGCGTGGAATGATCCATAGGTATCGACATAATTCGTTATAATGGTACGTAACCTTCACAAATTCTGCGAGAAAGTACGCCGGCACATTCACTGAAACCACGCGCGTCGCATTGTTAACTTCATTAGTACCTACACTGATTTCCACTGCTGGCGGACAGAGGGCGTTAGCTTACGGACATTCTACTGCCTCCTTAACCGAAGACAGCGGAACACCGAGCGGCGGGCTGTTCAAATGGTAGCCAATAGTCAACGGTTGTATTCAGGTACCTGCTTCTCTTACGCTGCCCTACAGAAAGACATGGAGTTCTTATAATGAAAGAATGATACAAAAGTCGACTATTGATATTAATGTGAGGGAACTGAATAAAAACAAAATTTATAAAATTTTACACTTTCTTTTCTAAGTATTCTTTCTAAGAGTGTTTCCAATTAACATTTAAATTGTATCATATTTATATCATTTTGCTTATTAGAAAAAATTGAAAAATTTAGAAAATGTTATTTTTATTTTATTATATTTCATTGTGTGTTCTATTTTTGAAACAGAATGTTTTCCCCAAATAAAAAGTAAACTATTGAGTACTTATTTTTCGTGTCAAATACATATTTATTTAAAAAACAATTTAAATATTCAAGAAATCACTACTTTGCTTCCCTATCGACACAACCTCATACATTTTGCGATCTCAGTATTTTTACCTCTATTGATTTTCATATAACCACTTAAAATAAAATTAAATGCACAACGGGTCTTTTCATGTTGAAGCAAATGCAACAATATATGAAGGGATAAAAATGAAAAGCAGAACTCTACTTCATGGAGGCCATGTTTCGCCCTGAAAATATACAGAATTAGAACATGTTTTAATAATTTATAAATACGCTTAAAACTTGTTTGTTAGTTAAATTTTAACAAATGAAATATTTTAAAACTAATATTTTAAACGTCTTCGAGTTGCAAACTATTTCTAGTGCAAAATTTAGTAGTACTAATAAAAATATTTCTTTAAAAACTGTAAATATTTTATTTGAAATTTGTTTTTTATTTGAAAATAATTGTTGACCCAGTCCACAGCGAATTGAAAACTATATAGGACTCTGTTGTCTTTTGTTTGACTCTTCACGTGTTTTCAGTACGTCTATGATCTCACCAATTTTACTTTCTCGCTACGGAGAAGAGAGAGAGTTATGTAATACGCGTAAAACGCCGAATTTTCACTCGAAACCCTTTATTACACGGCTCTGGCAACGAAAAAGTGGATAAATCCAGTCGATAAATTTAGAAAAAATCCTTTAACACGTAATGTTGCCAGAATCCATTTTTTGTTGATTCTTGATACCGAAAAATTGAATGACGGCAAAACGTCTGTCTGTCCACCCGTCTGTGAATAACGCTACAGGCTAAACTGTTCAGGTGATTTTCTCTAAAATTGGTATTTTTCAATCGATCTAATACATGTCATTTGAATTTCACGGCCCTTGAATTTGAAACCGATATTTTAATTTTGACAGTTCTTTATATGAAACCCCTGGGACATTTAAAAAAAATTACTATCGTTTTTGAAAAATGTATTGTTACACAACGTGAAGGACGTTTAAGAGAATAGAGCAGGTCTCATTTTCGTTGAAAACTCTAATTTTTCGAAACTACAAAAATTCAATTTTTTTCTGCATCTTCCTACAATTACAATTATGAAGATCGGTATTTTTTCCTTAATGAAATATTTTCTTTAAAGATAGATTTTGAAATAAGGTCATGTACAATTATACGGAAATTTTGCGGGTTGCTTGCGATTCGCCGAGCGCTAAACATTCTGTATTCGCCCTACCCGCCGTGTCGATCTTTTGCACTCACCAAAGGGAGCGAACATTCGCCGAAGACATCAGCTGCTCGGGATTGGGCGAGCAGCAGCTCGATGCCCTGCGAATGTCAAATGTGTGGAGCCGCCTTAATATACCCTCTGCTTGCCTGCCCTTGCGTCGTGCTTGTGGCGTTTCTTTTTCCGCCACCCTACGCGCTGCTCCATTGCCATTCACGGCAGCGCGCCCGAACTGTTAACAATATTGTCTAAGCGCCGAGAAACGTAGTCATCTGTCAATTGGTTTATTGGGCAACACACTTGACGTCTATGCCTTACACGCCTTTGGGTTGCAGCGATCCCTTGCAAATAACACGTGACACTATTAGCTCCAGTAAAACTAGGAGGATAACTAGAAAGAGTAATTGAAGAAGAAGAAGAAGAAGAAGAAGAAGAAGAAGAAGAAGAAGAAGAAGAAGATGATGATGATGATGTTCAGAAAGAGATTTTGACTTAGCGCAATAGTGTTACGTATTCACTTAACGAATCTTGTATTTCTGCATTATTTTCCGCTTATGAAAACTCGGTAGAATAGGTAGTTCTTAGATAAAAAAAATCTAAGCGTTGTTTCATAGTAAAGACTTACTCCAAAGTTGGTTTAGTTGTGCAAAATCTGCGGATGATTTTAAGCACATATGTTCGATGTTGGAGATACAAAATAATTTATTATTGAAAGACACGACGCAATGTTTAAGACTACTGTCGTTCAGAACTTGCAATGCATTGTCATGTGGTATTTCACATTAGTCAGGGAGCGGGAAGTTCTGTAACATTTGTTACTGCAAGCGCTATCTATGAACAAACTCCTCGCCCTCGCCTCGCCAAACTGACTCAACGCCCAGAAACTACCGCAATATTCAAACGTATTATTAAAACTTAAACCTGTTATATTTGCATATTGCTTTTTATTGAAAAGACATTAAAATAAATATTTAACTTCTGAAATTTTTTCTATGTATTGACAGCATTAATGAAAAACAAAAATTGATGTAAAAACTTGCAGTTTACCTCTATGAATATCTCGCAATATGAAGGAAAAGGTAGAACAGAGGATAGTCAATATTAAAAAAATAGAACTCCAACTTCTTACAAGGCTTTATTTCTTTTTTAACTTTGAAACATCTTCGAAAACTAGACTAAGTCCCTATCAAATGTCTACCTTTTTTTATTTCTTTCTCCAGTTTCTTTACATATTACAGCCAAGGTCCTGTATGTGGAACTTGTTTAATATAATATATATAATTTTTCCATGTTTTAAGACTACATTGTATACTATACTACAGTGGAATGTGGCTTGCCCATAATTTGCTGCACCCATTCCATGGGCGAGACACGGTTCGACCCGTCCGCCTGACACGGGCGCTGATTGTTAAAGTCGCGTCGCCAGATAGGCGCTTCGCAAGCGCATCAAGACAGCAGTGTACTGCTGAACTTGATGCAACCAGTGCATTTGCTGCTCGATGCTACCCTGTCCTTTAAGATTAAATAAACTTTGAGGGGGAAAATGGAAAAATACTGGTCACATTCTCCATCTCTAATCCGTATTTTATCCTCCAAACCAGAGCACATTTTCCAATTTCTAACACACTAACCCATACCTACTGATGTTAAGGTGTCTACTTCTGGATGATGAATGGTGTAGGTTTTAAAATATGAATCATTGTTATCATTAACAATTTAATTTGTTGACATGATTCATTTTGTGACATCCTTTCATTATAAATCTTAAGATTTTTCTGCACAAAAACAGCAGGGCACATTCATTCGTAAAAGTTTATTATCTTGTACATTTCTTTACATAATAAATAGATTTCTTGTATACTTGGGGTTTGTAGCAGTTTCCCTATCTGAATATTTTAATTCATACAGCATATCCAAAGACAGTGTTTATTGTCAAAATGTATACAACATAACAAAACAACCCTTCACTTGCTAGACACCTTAACATTTCTTTGATACTTCAATAAATTAAAGTTTAAATAATACAAATAAAACATTTATTCAAATACAGGCATTCTCTTTTGACTTAAGAAATATTTCTTACGTCAATACCACCATTTGTCGTGGTTGCATTTTATAACTTCACTGAGATACAATGATGAAGAACATTGAAATGAAAATGCATAATTGCTCATATTCTAACTAATTAACATCATTGTATCATTGTGATTAATTCAATAGTGTCATGCAATGAATTGTACAGTCATACAACAGATATATTTGCAATATTTATGTACACTCATACAGGGATCACTCTCTTTTATTATATATACAAAAGGATTACTATCCCGTTAAAATGATGGTATAAAAGAACTGCTATGGGTACGACACAAAGTAAAAATTAATTCTTCTTAATTTGGATTGAGGGAAATATAAGTTAAGTTACACAAGTAAATTAAAAATCCAAACATGTTTAATATCAAAGATGTAGAAGTGGAAAAACCACGTGGTGGTATTCAAGTAAGGTGAAATGCATGCCTGGTTAAATTAATATCATTGTCTAACAGGTTTTTCACTTAAAATAGTTCTAAAAGAATTTTCAACAAATGAGAAAGTTTAACTAGCAGAAAACTAAGAATTCCTTTCATCTGCTTTCATAGACAGGGCAGATGGCATGCAAGTATAATCAGCCTGTTTGTATATGGGAAATAGTTTTACAGAATAGCTTGTCGGTCATAGCTTGTACTCGTGCCAAGCTGCCACATGATGGTGAAAGAATTGCCAACTTGAACGCTCTTTCTCGTAATCTGTTCTCCCTTCTCCTGCACTTACTAATGTAATACTATGACACGAGGATCACGTAATGCCTAGCTACTTTTCCCTTAACCCATGAATCCAACAACAATGTAATAGTTATCCACACAACACACCAATATGCCTCCCTGGCACAACATACACAATAGAACACACCATAAAGAAACAATCTTATTGCACATTGCCCTCAAACACGAGTATACAAGAGTACAGCAACACTGCATATGCTATTCTTGAAGGGGCGGAGAGAGGGGCTTGTAAAAGCTAATGAGGCTATAGGAATCACATGCAACCTATGACAGAATCTACTAGGAACTGTGGGAATAGTAGTCATTAAGAGGGAATAATGTTGAATAAAATGGCATTTGATAACGTATGCTTACAATTAGAGATCTGTTTTAAGCAGTCAAATCTGAAGCTTAAGCGGCACCACTTGCTTATAGCTCAGACCATCTGTGTAGATACAACATTCCACACTTGATCACGCGAATATCTGAACACGAGAGCACCACATGGAAAATGAACACTAAGCCTTCCACTGGCAGTCAAATTCTTCCCCTAATCTAGCAGTTAATAAATACTGTTCGTCCTCTCTCTAAATATCTCTGTACATGCCTTTCTAGGAACTATACAACAATATTTGCTGAGTGTGAACAAGAATAAGTGAGGTAGTTTCAATGTAGATGAATATTGTATGAATGGTAAGAATGCTGTTAAAAATTTTACAAAATATATTGAGGAATTGCATTGCAGATAAAGCTACAATACACTCTAGAAACTGAAAGTGGTTTTGAGTTTTCCTTTAAAGCAAATTAGAACATGGAATGACTGTCTGTTTTGTATCTGGAAAAAAGAAAGGTTCAGAAGATACTAAATAAAATGGATGCTGTTCTCAAATGTTTTTTAAGTATTACATCTTTGGATAATGTCTAACTTCCACAACTTCCCTCTACAACTCTTCATTCTTTCATTGAAAAGTTGGAAAAGGTAAATAACAAATGAAATATAATTTGTTTACTTTTAATTTAATAGAAATAGGAACTATAAGCAAATCAAATATAAAACTCTCAAATAAATGCAATGTCAGAGAAATTATAACAGTGAAAAGTAATAATTATTACAAATATTACAAAAAAAGCAGTAACTATTTAAGAAATCAAGCAATAAGATATAAAAAAACATAAATGAAACAAGAAATTAATAATAACCAAAAGGAACATGTATTTTGTCTCATGCACCACTTAGCACAACATTAGGAACATGGGTCAGACGCAAACTTGTGATACTCGTCTTCAACGAGAGCACTGGAAACTTCTCAGTCCGGGCAAACTCCTTTTGCCGTCTCACTACAGACCCCGAGCTGCTCTGGTCATATATGGCAGTGTAAACAGTCATACTTAACACTGTTAGTTCAACTGAAATGAATCATGACACATATTTATTGGCTCACATAAAGGAACTTTGAATTGTTGGCTAATGAAATAAAGAATAAGTGCAGGAGATGAATTTTCGATTACAAGCTGCTATTTCTTTCTAGAGTTATTACTGTGATTTCTATCAAGTAGGCAAGTCATGGACAGTTCCAGAGAAGGAGCACTCATCATATGGCATAACGAGGAGCTTAGCACGATTACAATTTAAGGGTCACAAGCAGTTGAAAACGGAGTGTGGAAAACAATACCCTGATTCCAGAAATCATGATATTTGAATGTGTACGGCTGGCACAAATAAATTTGCAAACCCTTTGTCATGTAAACTAAATCAATAAGAATGATGCAAAGTTAGAGAACAGTACATTTTGAAATAAAACACTAATATTCAAATCACATATCAGCAACATATTCAATAAAATCGTTAAATGAGAATCTAACCTAAGAAGAGACAACAACAAATTTTTCATTTTGCTTTCTCTGGATTTGTTACATTACTAATAACAGTTAATCAGAGACCACATATTTGTACATAACCTTCAATACTCTCCCATATAAAAAGATCTCTGAACGCAAGTATATAACTAATAGGAAACAAAATGAAATTCACACAATATTTTCTTTACAAGTAAGAATAACTTATTCAAAGCATTAAATTTAAGCCACGCCCTTTAAGACTACTTACAATGGATATCTTTATACAATAAAATAAAAGGAATGTCATTATAATACTGAACTTACAAGAAACTAAATAAATACCATTCACCTCTTTTACAAGTTCGTGGCTATAGATACTATACAAATAAAATAATAAACTATTACAATAACTTTAAACTATAATACTGGGCTTAGTACTAAAAGGAACTTCACAATAATAGTGCTTTATTACAAAGCAATAGGACAACTCAAATGCATCTGCATTAAGTGGTGAATTCTAATTCATATTAACAAAAGGAATCTGCAACTACCATAGCTCCATAACACAACTGCTTTGAAAAATTTCCCAATACAAAAAAACAGTTGGTTAGGAGTATACTCTCTCATCTTTACATTTACTAATAGAAAGAAAAACAATACAGAAAACACCACAATTCACTTTAACTTAAAAACACAACACTGAGTATGCAATCTTTCCTTTAAGAATACTAAGTGCACAACCATTAACTTTGTCTCAAATTAATTCACAACTAAAGAGAATAGAATAATTTACTTAAAGAACATATTACTATAAAAACAAAAGGAAAACAAACTATCACCAAAGCATAACATTTATCTGGTTAAATTCTCATATGAGACCTGAGAGGGCAATTTGTAACACACATCCAATACATTCACTGATCATCAACTAGCCTCCATGCACAACAAGTACCAAATTAGAGTAAAAGTTCTCCCAATAAACATCTCAAAAAAATGAGAAAACCATAATAATGAATGGAGAACTTTTCACATTGCTTCAACACTTCTAATGCTCTATTGTAAACCAGGCACTCCAGAACTAAACAGTATACCCACATTACACCAACAGCAGTTGTATTAAGAAATAGAATATACTGAACTATTACAATGCTAAGACATTTCCATGCATAATACTACTCCACATGCAGGAATGCCATTGCAGAGAAAATAATTTATTATGACGTAACTGCCATAATAAAAGGGTATTCAAAAGAAACATAATACTGATAATGGAATGATGTAACTTAATAATCACAATCACAAATAAATAAGTCAAAAACCAGTCATTCATACACTGCATAACACATTTTTGACAGTAATTGCATCTAAAAAATGCCTGTCTTTAAGTACTGGAAGCCTGACATGAAACCGAGATAACTAGACATCTACCGTATGATGTGTCTCGCCTGTACGTCAGAACGTACTATAATCAAAAGTGTCCCTGAATATGGAACTTTACCCTGCAATTATCATGGAGATGAATTAATTAAAAATATTTTGTGTTATATTTGTGAAAACATTTTCATTTCTTTTGTCTAAGTTAGAGAATAATCTGTTAAGTGCTTCTACTGTGTCGTACAAAAATGATCTTAAAGCACTTTAGCTTCTCAGATAATAACTTTTAAACTTCATATAAATGAAAAAAAAAACAAAGAAAATGAAAATCAAAATGCATTTGCATTGCTCATACTCTTAAATTAAATTGTACTGTTCAAGAGACTTTGGAAAAGTGTGCAGTTCTCTATAAATTTAGAATCAAGAAAAGAATTTAAATTTAAGAAATACATTCAACAATCAACACTGGCATAGGAAACTGCACTCCACACAGATATTAAATAAAAACTGCTAATATGCTACTCAAGCAATTACATTGTTTACCCAGTCATATTTTTAGTAAAATTTTTCTTTTTACAAAAAACACATGTAGCTAAAGGTACAGTTTTATACACCAAAACATTTTCACCAATTCTAATGTTTTATGCAAAGCCAGAAGTTTGAACAAAAGAAAACCAAACATGATACAACCAACAAAACTGCCCAATTTTTTAACATTAATCCATCTACTCACAACAACTTTTGTACAATTTCTTTTTTCTTCTTTTAAAAGGCCTATGTACATTTGGAATCAACAGAGGATGCCTTGTTTGAAACAAAGACATTTGTTTGTTTGTTTTTTGTAAATGCCAGAAGGTTTATGAATATCTTTCTCTCAAATCATCTGATGCAAAGCTTTTCAATAGAATTTCCTGTCACTTTCTTTCACAAGAAAGATTTCAATATTTATCTGAAAAATTTTGAATGTAGTTACACAGTTAACATATTCTATTTGGTCCGATGTTCATTATTACACATCAATTACCTTTGTATGTACAATATTTCTGTAGGAATAACAAACAAGTTACTACTCCTGTAATAATAACCAGTTAAGATAAGAGCTGCTTCACCACACTGCTAGTTTTCATATCACATCTAGTGAATATATTGTTGCTCTGAACAACACTATCCCCACCGTCAAGAATATAGCACCTTATGTAATCACACCTAGTAGTTTCCATTTTGGGATGATGCTATTCAGCAACAACTTTTCACTCATAATGCCCAATTAAAATGATGAAATCGCTCTCCTTAATGCTGGTTGAGAGATTGGGATGCAGCAAAGCTCTTTAAGGTTGTGTTACAAACACAGTACAAGAAAAAGGACAAGCTCAGTACATAATAACAAATAACATTTGAAAAAGCCTTGCTTGCTTCCACAATGGCAACACAGATAATCAGACCAAACAATATGTCACTTGTAATGCTATTTCCTTCAGTCTTGTTACAGACACACCTCTGTTGACAGTAGGTATTGATCTATCACATAAAAGCATTAATTTAATGATTATGATGAATACTGCAAATGGCTAAGATCTCGGTGTTTATAAGGGACATGGTAATGCTCTCTATTCTGCAAAAATAAAAGTCCTTTCAACAATCACTAAATATAGATCTTATTATCTTTCTTACTATGTGTACTCAGGACAAGACAATAAATAGTTTCATGGAAAAAATTGGTTGCAGTTATAAAAATGATATCACAAGGTTTTGATATTGAAAAAATATGTGTGAGAATTAGTGAGAGAAAGGGTACCGCTATATATCTGTATATGTGTACATGAAATATCCCTGCAAGTTATTGAACTGTCAATTGGGGGAAGTATGTGGAAAAATAACAAACTGTGTATAAAACACATGGTGTATATTTGTAAAAATCTTTTGCTGAACACTGTTGTGAGATGATAGCATATAAAACTTAAACAACTGTATCAGTACCCTTTCAACTCACTTTAAACAATCTCTGTATTTGTCCTCTCCCTGATCTGGTAAAACTACTATGATTGCACGTAGTCTATGTACTGACGGTCTGGTGGCTGATTGCTTGCTGTTGACTTTTTTAGACACTTTACTACTCTGAAATCGTATAGCAAGTTAACAGTAATTGTCATGATAATATTGCTTATCAAGGGAAGCCATATGAGTTTTTTGCACATTTTATAATAAATCTAACACACATTTTATCCTATCACAAGATGCCAATATTTTTATTCACATAATATTTCAAACTTTTGATGCTCAAATTTTTCAAAGGCTACACTGACTATAAACAATATCAACCTGACAATCGACAAGTAATTTAGAAAAGCTTCAACAGCATTTAATGATACCAAAAGAGCTTGCCATTCACAGTACGATTGTAATTATTTTTGTTTTGTTTTAAAACTACCCAGTGGACAGAAGATGGGTACTAGAAAGCATGCCTCTAGTACAGTCAGTGAAATAGCAATTGATGTTTTCTCTTTTGTTGATAGAAAACATTTGTTACTAAGACTAAAGCACTATTGCAATTTTATATTTATATATATAGTTTCTTCACTTTTGAAGTATGGGACACCGAAAACATTTTTTACATGCTGTGGACCACAGTACCTAAAAATAATTTGTGTCTGTGTATGTATGTGTGTGTACATATGTGTGCATCATTAGGAATGATCTGTTAAGTTTTTATTACAAAATGTTTTAATTCTAATTTCTAAATACACAATTTTCATTGTGTGGGTGGGGTGGGGGAAGAGAAGGGAGCAACTTTTTCCAAAATATTTTCACATAAATATTTCACAGAGTGATCTATTAGCTCGTGTGATTTCTTTTCCAAAGATAAGCAATTTCTTCATTTAAAAAAATGTATGCACTTTCATATTGTTCTTGTTTATTAAAAGAACCACACAATTGCCAGATTCATCACACAGCTGGCTCTGCCGTTTTCTGTCTGCTCATAATAATTAACAACATGTCGCGTGAACTGTAACATGAAGCGTATGCTTGAGTAATGTCTGTAACCTCACTTCTTATCACAACTATAGCAACGCTCTATGTATCTCATAGATTTTCAAAGATAAATACACCACAGAAAGAAGCAACTTCACGAACCTCACTCACACCACTTTCAACGTCATAGAATGCTCCTTGCTTTCTTTGAATCTCAAAAAGCAATACAAAAGAAATCTTCTATATTTATAATTAAGTGAGGATATTATAATAGATGAATATAAAAATGCTTTCTCCTATTATTTCATCTTCAACTTAAAATTATGTAATATTTGGTATAAATCTCTGCAGGAACTGTTGATGCTGTCATAAGTAACTTAATTAGGATATACTTAAATATAAATAACTGGAACATTGGCATTTGAAGTCAGTCTTGTAAAGTAACTACTGACCACACAAAAGATACCCGGCAAGTACCTTTTAGCAACCAACTCCTGCTCTCCTAAGTTGAAGGGACAACAGGAGGTGTTCGGCAAGTCAGTGGCCCTCACATCACATCTCGAAATGAGCACCCATCACATACCTACAGCATAGCGTTTACAAGTCAGAGTACAACAGTCGCTTTGTGACAGAGCCAGTCCTCTGCATAAATCTCATCTGCAAATAACATGAAAATAAATTTATTTATCTTATAAAAGTCATCTATTTCCTACATTAGAATGTATACATCACTGTAAATATATTTATTACATAATGGACTATTTAAATGTATAAAAATTGTATATTACCCCTGTATGAAATACCTATCACTTGTATGATTCTGATATATATGCCTGACTCTGTCGCAAAGTTCCCATTTCTCTGAGCAATAATGCAATAAACAAAGAAAGAATCGCCTTCTCGGTTCTATATCCAAGCAGCTAATGGTGCTTCTTGAGTACGCAGTTAGTTTTGCCCATTCTGTTCAACTAGTGTCTCCTCTCGAGGAGCTGGTGGCAGCGTGGGCTTCACATCGTGTGCTTCTTCCTGTGCCGCGGAGCTGTCTTGAGGCCGCTGCCCACTGCTACTCCTCCCATCATCGTCACGTTCCCTTTCTCTCTCTCGCTCTCTCTCCCTCTCACGTTCTGTGCGTTCACGATCCCGACCAACAGATCCAATGTCCAGTGGCAAGGGCATGGAAGGGGGGAATATCTCCCTATTCTTTTCGGACTGTGGTAGCAAGTGTATCATACCCACAGGTACGGGGAAGGATGCTCCAAAGTCTGGGTAGAAGTTGGCAGCAGAATATGGATTGAAGCCTGGAGCCACAGAGACCAGATCTGGTTCTGAGCAAGGAGGCCCCAACATTTCATCTGGAGTGTTTGACTTACCAGTTGCATTGTTATTGTTGTTATTATTGTTGTTATTGTTTGGAGGAGGGTTGTTCATGGCTCCAATGCCCAAAAGCTCAAGAGGACCTCCTGGACTACCCAGACAATCCTTTTTCAGTTGCTCCAGTTTCAAGCTCTTCCCATATTTTCCTCGCACGTACATCAGCAAGCTATTGTAAGGAATTCCAAAGATGCGAGATGCCTGGGATGTGGTCATCTTCTTGTTCCAGACATGCTGCAACGCTTCTGTCAGCTCTGCGTTGGTCCATGATCGAGGAGGACCCCCTCGGGGTGCACTGTGTTGACCTTTAGGGCGTCCAACTGTTGGAGAACACAAGACAACACACATTAGAATTTTGGCAAGCATATTATACTATACACATTTATTGTCCAATCAAGTTGTACCATGTGGTGTATACTTATTCCTCATAGAAAAGCCAGGAAAATCGTTAGTACCCTTACTTTTCCGCTTGCTTATTATATGGTGGTTTTCACTTCGGGGCTCAGGGAGGTCGTTTAATAAAGGATTCCGGCAACTTTCCATACTTGGGAAGAAACCAAGTTGAGAGTCGAGGGAGAAAACTGAAATTGAAAATGTCATTAGTTTATGAATGATATATCAAAGCAGTTATCAGAAAATGGAAAAGAAAAGAGACAGGTGATTGATTTCATTTTACTGGCAAATCAATACAAATGAATATTTAATATCCATTACAAACTAATATGAAAAACTTAATAATTAAAACATTAATTTGAAAACATACCATGGGGTGGTGTCAGAGACAAAGCAGACACAGAAGGAAGATGGGCAAAATTTGAATTATCAAGTGAGGAGTCCTGAAAATGAATACATTTGTTAAGTAGCTGCATTTTTCTGAAAAGTATCACTAAAGAAATTGTTTATAACATCCAATAAAAACATTTTGCATCATGTTTTAAACTGTTAAAAATAATATGTTTTTAAAGACCTTAAATTTCACAGGATATGCTATTGTGGAACAAATTAGAATATTCAGAGAACAAAATATGTAAAGCTATTTTTCACAAAGGCTATTGATGAAAGCCAATTAAACTCCTAGTATATTGTTTTTGTACAGTTTTAAAATATAACATGTATAAAACAACGTTAAGCTACTCAGAATTAACTTCTCAACACAAAATTTACATAGAAACTTACAGGAGGATGAGGGGGGAGACTTAAAGATTCAGTGTTGTTGCAAAATTCGAAGCGCTCTCTTTCCTTTTCTCGTTCTCTCTCTCGTTCACGCTCCCGCAGTTCTCGTTCCCTTTCTCTCTCTCGCAGTTCCCTCTCTCGTTCCTTGTCCCGCTCACGGTCTCTCTCTCTTTCTCGGTCTCTCTCCCTTTCCCGTTCTCGTTCTCTTTCACGTTCTGGAGTGTGCATGTTGAGGCGTGCACTATCAATCTGTTGCAAGGGATCCTCGCTCTCCATCTTGAGAGACAATGGTGGCTGAAAATTAGAACATTAATGTAACTTTATGCATTCTACTTTCCTGTAAAATGATTCTGTTGGGTAAAATTCTCTTATCAGGGAATCAGCAATTTGATAATAATAAAAAAATATTGGTTTTTAAATAAATTCAACATGAAATTACTTACAAAAATAAAATGTGTGAAACATGTTTAGATTTCTGATTGTTCTTTGATATTTTCCCCCTTGTATTGATTGAACCTAGCAATAAAACTAAAATTTTGGCAGTCTATTGTAAAAATTGATAATGCACATCACACTTTCCTAGAGTCATGAAAATCCTATATCTACACCTGAACATTAGCGAGACACTTTTTAGCAGTAGCTTCTAAGCAAAAGCAAGGCAAAAATGGTCCTGTGAGCATAAACTAAGAAATGCCTAGTTTTATTAAAGAAATGAGATTCAAAATGAGTCATCCAATTCTAAGCAAGAAACTAAGTTTTACTTTCTTGTATACAAACGCATATGAGGGAAAGTTACATTATGCTACAGAAAATTTATTTCCAGATTTTAACAAAAACACAGTCTCCAAAGCGGTCACCAACAGTTCCGTGAAAATTGGTTGTTAATTGAGGTGACCACTTGTTCAAGGTTATAAGTTACCAGATAAATATATTAAATCATATGAAAAAAGTATATTTTATTTCATATCGCTAATTACCACAAAAGATAAAATGCAATTTAAATGAGGTATTTAGTACCATTTGGCCTCCTCTCTGTTAATATCAAAACACTCCCTTGACTCGTCACTCATACTCTTAATCGAGAAATACTCTTTCCATCCTTATAAAACAAGGGAACTGCACTTTCAGATGCAATTCACTCTGTAGAAACATTATGGCCATGCAACAAAGGAGTTTGTGAATGATTATTCAGATCGGATTCCCAAAAGCAGCATGCTACACAAGTTCTTAACACATTTAGACTGAAGGGAAGAACGAGTTGTCAAAACATAAGAATGTCATAAAATGGAGTAGTGAAGGCATTGTAGGATAAGAGATGATTATTAAAATCATTATCAGAAACTGTAAAATAAACTCCCTGAGAGGTAATTTACTCTGGATGTCACTGAAGTAATGTGTAATGCGACCCATTGCAGAAATTGCAATACCAATCTCATTAACGAAGGTGATTGCTTAATTGAGATGGCCGTTTAAACAACTTTCATTGTGCACATTTGGGAGTACCTTGATGACGAACATTTCATTTTCTTTCAAAACCTCTGTCTAACTTTTCCCGCCTGTGGACAACACTGGTGCCTGAACCATTCATAGGATTTTTTCCAAAATTAATATTCCCCATTCAACCAGACCCATCTCAAGGCCCTGTGGATTTCTTATGAATGCTTTAACATGCGTGGGATACTTCATATGAAGCCAATGGGGACACTTTCAAAATTTTCTCAAAAGGAACTCCATCTTTTTCTTTCAATTTCTTGCAAGAATAGAATCAAATTCACTTATGAAGATAGCATAGGTCCGACTCCCTGTGTTTTTTGATAAAACATTAATTCTGACACATAGTTACTAAAACCATCAAGATAAATGATACATGCTGACAATATTATGTTACACAAGTATCTCTGTGGAGTCAGTTCATTTTTAGAAAATTGTTTCTTATTAAGTGCGATGTTCATACACCTATTGCTCATAATTTCGTTTGCATGGGAACAAATGGTGTCAAAGTCATTCCGGTACAAGGCTCAAAGGTACAAAGCAGACTAAGTGTCATTACGCATAAAAAGGTCTGTTTTATTTCAATTATCGTTTTGTTTTATATGTTTCAGTTCAATTATGTTTTTATTTTGACATTAGCATTAAAAACTACCTTTTTGTTGCAAGAAACCATTCATGAAAGGACCTTTTATGGCACAAAGGATGGCAAATTAGAATCTTATTGCAGGAATGATCAGCAAATCAGCGATCACAATCAGCCAATCCTAGCGAGTGATTCGCAGGAGTAAAGCAAACAGCCGACCACCATTTTTTGGCACAGACTTCAAATACCCAAGATGTAATGAGAAAGTTGTTTCGCAAAATTAAGTTTGATTCTCTTATAAAAGTATAATGTTGTTATACAAAAAAATGTGTATGCAATTCGTTTATGATGTTGCTTTATTGCTTTTGTACAAATATGAAAACTTGCTTCTAAAGTCGCTCATTTGCAAAACATGTACTCACGCAAAAAAGCTTACCGTTATAGACCAATTGCATAAATTACTATTATTATGTTACATCACCGTAATATACTGAAGTGATGCGGCATCATTTGATAGTTAATGCAGAGGCTTCGGGTTGGGACAAGTGAACGCAATTATGTGGACTCTAAGGCTGTGGGGTCAAACCCCGCCTAAGGCATGAATGTTTTAATTCATGTTCTTGGGTTGGAGGAAGGTTTTCCAAATTACTCCTTTATTAAATCTATATCCTAATCATTTCATAATGCATTTGCCCCAACAGATGAACTGTGTATAATCTGTGTGTTTAATTGTGGAACTGAATCCCATGCCCAGAACAATGGCACAAGCACCAAAATGGGACCAGAACAATGGCACAAACTCTATACAGGATTCTCAATCTAACTTCTAAGGCATATAAAAGGTTCATTGGAGAGAAGTGTTAGAAAACAAAGTTACACATTGAAATATTGAACATCGCCCAATGATGTATGGCAACTTATCGTGCACTTGTGTCTGGCAGGTATTCAAAATCTTTTTGACTGCATTAAAATGTGTATCTACCAAACACCCTTGCTTCAAAAGTTGCTTACCAAATACAAGCACAAATTTTATGGATAACTTTGTTATACTAGATTTCCCATCACATATCAATGGAAAAAAATTGTCATGTTCAACCCCCTAAACGTTTCTTTTTCTGAGACATTCTGAATACTGTAAAGGAGAGATTAAAAATTCAAGTTTCGACTTGTGTCGCTTAAGAAATATGTGAGTGATGTGACATAGGGCTGCTTCTGCTCTACTTGTCGTGAGGAAGTGTCATCTCCAGTATTTTGTAAATAGAGGTCACATTTCTTCGGACAAGCTAATAAAAATCCTTGGGAGCGTATCTCTTACGTGAAATAAGGGAACCACTGTCCTAACAGCATTTACGCTGTTTTTCTTCTTTCAGGAAAGAGGATTCAAAAAGAAACTTCTATTCCTTTGCTGTGACTCTACAATTACTGATAGTTCTTCATCAGTTATGAAAAAAGACGCAGTCGTTCAATGCATGGGCATGAAGAATCCTAAACTGTGGGAATAATATTGTCCATAAGTTACATTTATTAAGGTTTGTTACGTTCTTGTTGAACATCTCATTTCGCAACATTTCTTTCGCCATCTAGGAACGAAAGAAGGCATACCTCGGGCGACGAAACAGGCAATTAGAATTCGGCTGAGAGGCTTCTTTTAGTCTTAAGGAACCTTTACATGCAGTAACTCTACAACATGGGACTGCCGGCTTTACTTCCCCTCCAATAGTAGGCATACGCAATATTTTTTTACCCTTACAAATGCACGGCTTCGATTGATTTCAACCTGGTTCTACCAGTCCGATACGCCAACCGTTACACCACCAAGGCCACTGATGTTTTTCAGTCAAGTCCAGATACATCCTTTTTTAAAATTTATTTTCTACCGGTTCATCTTGTGTTTTTAAGGGGTAGTAAGTAACACATAATAAACTTGCTTGGCCATCCTCAGGCAAATGTGGGTCTCGGTAAAACCCTTCACTATTTTTAAAAAATTCATATTTGTATAACTTGACCACGGGAGGCTTGCATTAATTGTTTAGAAGTAGAGGGAGGAATTTTGTGCGGAAAGGGGTAAATGATTTTACAAATTAGGGCGGGCGAATAAGATCATTGCGGGAAATCTTGATCTGATCATGTGCGTTTTGGACCGAGGTTGAATACCGGAGCGTTCAGACGCATCCTCGTACGCCTGCCTTCGGAGGGGAAGTAAAGCCGGCT